TATCAAATTAAAATCAGCTGAGATAGACTATTCCATTCCATCGTAGTTGTTCCAATCAAACTGCAGAGAATACTGTTCTAAACATGGCTCAAGACCAGCAGTGGCCGGACATATCTTGCATCGAAAAAACTTTAAAATAAAAATAGGGAAACCTAATTTGTGCCTAAAATTGTCCTCAAGATGACACTACTTATTGTATATCGTGTAAAGTTTAGGCCAACTGTCATCCTCCCGAAGTACCAGGCGAGTAACTATGTTCAAAATGCCTATCTATTACGTTAGCCATTTGGAAAGAATAGCTATTGACACGATGGTCCTTTATCTCCCAATTCATATCTGGGGACATAGATATATATTAACATTGGTTGATTATGCTTCGAGTTATCCCTGATGCCGTTCCCTTTAAAGACCAAAACGTACTACAGAGGTGGCTGAAGCCCTATTGGTCCATCTTCCTTCCAGAGTGGGCATCTCCTAGAGAAATTTTGTCTGACGGCGTGGGACACATTTCACATCTGACTTAAAGCAAACATCTATACCAACTTCTGGATTGAAGCCTCTCCTCGTTCAACACACAACCCTAACATCCCATGCCCTGTAATGGGAGGATTGAAGCGCCAGCATTCGATTCACAAGTCCCAATTTAAGGTAAAATTGCTCCCTAAAAACCTAAGGAGTGTCATCGTTAACCTACCCTGTGCTTTGGTTTGCCAATGAGGGAAGTTCCCAGTGGGGTTTCACCTTAGAACTTCTCTATGGAGACAGCCATAGGCCACATTGTTCCATCCTTCATGACTTATGGACTAAAGAGGAGGTAAATTCTGAGTGTTTCAAGTCTTCCTCCAGTCTTTCTTCATGACCTTAGATCCAAACTTGATAGACCTCTGACAAAGTTTCGAAGAGACGTCATAAGCTTGTCAATGGACCAGTATCAAAACCTAAATTTGACTTCCGAAAAGTCAGAGGATAAGTAATACAGAGTGAGATGAAGTTCTTGTACTTTTGCCTATCAAGTTCAAATAAATTATTAAGCACATGTGTAAAGGTCCATATAAAGTATTAAAAATCTTGGAAAGTTGACTACCTCATATAAGTCAAGCGGAAAACTAACTTTAATCATAATCAACATCCTTAAAGAAATATACTGAAGAAAATTCGTGTAACTGCCTAACAACTTTGACCTTAGTTTTTCCCACACGAACTTGATACGACAAACGAAGAATGTAAAGTGTGCGTAAGTGACACCCTCTAACTTAGATGCTATGATAAGGAACTACATGGACCTTGGATGACTCTTGACCACCGGAGCAGAACCAACATTAATATTAAGATACATGAACTACTCAAAGTGTGAGTAATCTTTCCAGACGTCTTTACTGATATTCAGGGTGTTACCTCCACTGTATTCCATAAGATTGACTTATTGACCGGACACACCTATCAAACTGAAATTATACCCAGTTCCAGTTTCACCTTAGGGATGCATTTGACCGAGAGGTAGTCCAAATTATTAAAACTAAAGAATACATTGAACCTCAGTATCTTCATAATGTTCACCAGTAGTCATGGTTAAGAAGGAGGATAAATCATATAGACTTGCTATTGAATCCCATATGGCCTTAATGCTAAACTCGGTTGGATCTGAGCCTATGCCCTTAATAGATAGCGATCTACACAAATTTTATGACCTTCCTTCTTTTCAGGAGATTAAAATTGCACATGTGTATATCCTCATGTAATTGTAGATCCTTCACAAAGCATTACACCGCTTAACCAACGCACCAATGACTTATGCTGTAATATGACCAAAGCCCTCGTTTTGTGAAACTGCCTGTGTCTACTAGCCTACTTTAGACTGATGAGAAAAGGTGCTTTGGTAATATGCCAAATGTTATCAGTTATTTTGATAACATTATTTATTGACATCCCATGGGGCTAACAAAACCAACATTAACAACAGTTTTGTCGTAGTATACGCTCACAATGGCCTCATGCAATCCGACGAAAGCTTCCTTGGTATGAACAAATTAATATCTTGGACTGATACTTCTAATAACTCTCTGCAGCTCTTCTCCCCAGTAAGATCAAAGCTATATTAGATTTAAATACCCAAAAACCCAGAAGCTCATGCATGCGTAGCATTTCTTGGTTTCAGTAAATTTTTATGCACGTATTCATCCCGAACCTTACTGATCTTACAGGCATCTTGTCGGACTTCCTTAAAAAGTCTGTGAAGGAACCTCTTGAACTTTCCGACATAGCTCGTGAAAAGTTTTAATGAGATTAAAAGTATCTTTTCGAAAGACCCTATACTTAAGATTCCAGATATTAATAAAACATTTTGTTTGAGAACTGATGCTTCCAATACTGGCTTAGGATGCGGTGCTACTACAAAATACCATGATGAACTCCCTTCCCTGTATGCTTCCTAAGCTGGAAACTCCTTCCTACAGAAACAAGATACTCCACAATAGCCCTTGTGTGGGGTATCTCCAAACTTAAATTTTATTTGCTGGGAAAAAAATACAAATTAGAAACGGACCACAAACTTTTGATATACCTAGAAACTTTTAAAGGGAACCAACATTCGCCTCTTGAGGTGGACATTGGCACTCCAGGCTTTTAAGTTCCATATTGTGCATATCAATGGTTCATCCAATTATTTCTCTGACTGGTTAAGTCGTTACATACAGTAGAAGATTTGTTGCCTTACGTTACTTCCACATGGTTTAGAAAAACATTTTTTCCTATCCAATACTTCATATACTCCTTTTGACTATAAGTCATGGTATGGGGGAGTGTGATGTGAAAAAGATCAATAGATAGTAAGTAGAGATGGAATATATATATATATTAAACAATAGGTACATTGCCGCTACTCGTTTAAGGTAGGGAGAGTCTAACTCCCGCGATATATCCACCTTTTGTCCCCCCCAACCGCCCAAAATTGATAGTTTGTCTGGCCGCTACTAGTTTAAGGAAAGGGTAAGTCAAGCCTCCCGTTTTTTTTTTTTTTTCCCGCTTTTCTCCCCCCTCTTCCCTTAAGTGATAGTTTGACTGCCGCTGCATTGTTAGGTAAGGGTCATTCGATAAATCCCGATACTCCATCCCCTCCCTCTCTCCCCCCCCGAAAGGGACGTGTTGGGGCTCTGGTCTTTTAAACAGTAAATCACTAGACTCATCAGCTCCCACACTACTGTAATTACATGCCTGCCTTGTATTCTAGTGGATTTATTGGTTGAAAAGCTTCACTATTGATCAATGATAAACTAAGTTCCTTTTCCAGCCTTGCTCTTATTGACTGTTGTAATAATCACCCACATCTTTTAAGTATCAGACTTTAAAACCAGGAGAGTGATTATTTAAGCAGTGGGTAACCTGTCTGTCTTTCCAGCTTGGATGTCAGAGAGGGTCCCTGGCAATCAATTGAGCAGAACAGGAGAAGGACTAAATGTCCCCAGAGACTATCTCCATTTTTGTATTGAACACCTTGCACCTGTATAAAGTGCAGGACGTAACTCCACAGCATTGCAGCGGTAAAGAACCTGCTTGTCCTGTCATCGGGATATAATCACGACGGCGATTCTCTGTGAAGAACAAGCCAGTGGATGGTCACCAACAACCGGCGACCTTCCCCCCCTTATCATCAATCAAACTGCTACGGATTCACAACGCTTGTCACCCAGCACCAGACACCCTTGTAGATTAGCGTTGATTCAAATGTTTTTATTTCATTTTCATTTTTCATTTTTCTTTTCTTTCCAATAGGATATAACCATTCATGTTTGTTTTTTATGTTGATTATAATAAATAGTGGGTTTATCTTTGTGAATTATTATTTTCTTTTTCTCTATTCATTAATTTCCTGAGGAGGAGCCAGCCTGAGTAATACTGACTGAAGTTGTTAACAAGGGCTGAGTAAGCGCTCACAATACACCATCTGAAGAAATCTGATATTCCTTCAAAGAGACCTTTAAAAAAAATTTGTTATGTGGACAATCTTCAAGGTAATGTAAATAAAGAAGAGGAAAATGAAATTCTTATTCAGAGAAACAATTTTTTGCAGTGAGAGAGTTGAAGGTATATAGAAGAGGTGTAAGATAGTGGTAAGGATGAGGGCTGGTTGATATGATAAATCTCTCACTGGGATGAGGTGAGGCCCTGATTGTCGGTGAGGGAGGACAGGTATGGTGGGAATCAGACAAAATGGGGCTTTGGTTTTGTGATGAGGAAAGTGCTTGTGAGAAAGAATCATGCACTGGCGAGAATGGGAATGGGGATGCTTGTGGGGATGAATAGTGGTAGATGGTAGTTAATTGTGAATTATTGTATCTGAGTGGGAAAGGGAGCTAGAGCTTGAGGGAGTGTTGGGACAGTACGTGTGTGCTTGTATGTGTTCGTACATACCAACATACGTAAACGTGTATGTTTAGTAATGGTGGGAGACAACGAGACTAGTGATTCTACAAACAATATGTTTTGACAAACCATACCACGGGTGGGGTTTGAACCCTCGGTAAGAGAGTCTCAAAACTCCGACCGTTGCGTTAGCCACTGGGCCAGCTAGCTTCATTTTGACGGCTTTGAGGGGACTTGAGCAAGAGTTCGTCACGGCCACTCTAGCGGGAGATTCGTCTGTAAAAACTTGCTTTTGTGGTTACAGTGGTGCCTAGCTGGTGCAGTGGCTAACACGACGGTCTGGAGTTTTAAGACTCTCTGACCGCGGGTTCAAACCCTACCCGTGGTATGGTTTGTTTACAATCGTGTCATTACGATTTCCTGAGTCTGGTTTTGATAAATCATTACAACACTAGAAGAATAACGCGGTGTTTGCAAGGTATATTCCGTTCCTTATAAAATTAGTTATAATTGTAAAATAAAATTTACGGATAAAAATTCTAACTTCAGTACGTCCTTCGAGTTGGAGAATCTGGATGTACTTAAATGAGGTAAATATAATGTAAGTAAAAACTACTGACCAAACATCACTGATGACTCACTGTGTTTTCTCGAGAGAAGTAATGCTTAGCAAGCAGAGTCATCAGGTCGTCTAGATCACCAGGGCCCAAGACCACATACTTCAACATAGGAACATCACTCATCTTGACTTTCAGCGCCTCTGCTGCCCTGTGTGTCACATATTTTAAATAATTAACACTGTAAATTATTCACTTCCTTCCCAACACTATGAAAAATGTATCAATATTCACTAACTCTGTGAAGAGTTGATGTTTGTTTAATATTATATTTGATTGATATTATTGTATCGGATTTTGAACTTATGGCTGCATCTTGGTGTTAACAACTATGTTCACTATGTGACTCACCTCTCCATCATCTTGATGTTAACATATTCACTATGTGACTCACCTCTCCATCATAATGTTAACAACTATGTTCACTATGTGACTCACCTCTCCATCATCTTGATGTTAACATGTTCACTATGTGACTCACCTCTCCATCATGGAAATATAAACACATATGCAGTGTAATGTGATCCTTTATTGACTACATTTCGCCCACAAAGTGGGCTTTTTCAAGTCACAAACAGATCTACCAGGGGTGGAAGGGACGCGAGTATTTATAGTCAGGTTCAGAATGCTGAGGTCAGGTGGAGAATGCTGCATCTGATGATGTACCGAGTGGGGTTATAGAGTCTAAAATCTTGGGTAGCTTGTAAAGGAGATTCCATAAGTTTGTGAGCAGACCTTCTACAGTGTTCTTCCATTCCTGTGTTCTTATGTGGGATAGCGATGAAGAAGTTCCTTGGCAAGTGGTTCAGCTATGTTATAGAAGCCACTATTCTGTTTGAAGTTGTCGGATATAGAAATAAGTGATGATTCCATGATTCTTCGGTATTGAGTGTTGTCTTCTGTGGCAATAAGTCTTGAGTTTCTGTAGTTTATCAAGTGGTTGTGTGAATTACGGTGTTGTACACAGGCATTCCTTGTGTCGTCAGACCTGCTTGCGTATTGGTGTTCTGAAATACGTGTTTGGAGGTCCCTTGATGTTTTGCCCACGTATAATTTGTTGCAGTCATTACAAGGGATTATGTATACCCCTGCAGAGGGTGGAAGCTTGTCCTGTCTATCACTAGTAATGTCCTTGATGGTCGTGGTTGTGGAGGTAGATACTTGGAATGAGGTATTGGAAAAGATGTTGGAAACGTGTTTGGCAATGGAGTTGGTGGGGAGGACTATGTATCTCTTCTGGGCAGTGTCTTCTCTGGGTGTGTTGAAGATGTTTAATGCCCATCGTCTGCAGTCTCTGATGAAGTGACAAGGATCGTGGAGTTCAGAAAATACTTGTTCAATTATCGTGCATTCTTCTTCAAGAAACTCAATGCTGCAGATTCTGAGTGCACGCAGGAAGAAGCCTATAATTACACCGCGTTTAGTTTTGGTGTCGTGGTGAGAGTAGAAGTGGAGAAGATCGTTTTGGTTCCTAATTGAACAAGTATTTTCTAAACTCCACTATCCTCGTCATTCATCAGAGACTGCAGACGACGGGCATTAAATATCTTCAACACACCCAGAGAAGACACTGCCGAGAAGAGATACATAGTCCTCCCCACCAACTCCATTGCCAAACACGTTTCCAACATCTTTTCCAATACCTCATTCCAAGTATCTACCTCCACAACCACGACCATCAAGGACATTACCAGTGATAGACAGGACAAGCTTCCACCCTCTGCAGGGGTATACATAATCCCTTGTAATGACTGCAACAAATTATACGAGGGAAAAACATCAAGGGACCTCCAAACACGTATTTCAGAACACCAATACGCAAGCAGGTCTGACGACACAAGGAATGCCTGTGTACAACACCGTAATTCACACAACCACTTGATAAACTACAGAAACTCAAGACTTATCGCCACAGAAGACAACACTCAATACCAAAGAATACTGGAATCATCATTTATTTCTATATCCGACAACTTCAGCCAGACTAGTGGCTTCTATAACATAGCTGAACCACTTGCCATGAAACTTCTTCATCGCTATAAGAACATAAGAACATAAGAACATAAGAACATAAGAAAGGAGGAACACTGCAGGAGGCCTGTTGGCCCATACTAGGCAGGTCCTTTACAATTCATCCCACTAACAAAACATTTGCCCAACCCAATTTTCAATGCCACCCAAGAAATAAGCTCTGATGTGAAAGTCCCACTCATATCCAACCCCTCCCACTCATGTACTTATCCAACCTAAATTTGAAACTACCCAAAGTCGCAGCCTCAATAACCCAACTAGATAGACTGTTCCACTCATCAACTACCCTATTTCCAAACCAATACTTTCCTATGTCCTTTCTAAATCTAAACTTATCTAATTTAAATCCATTACTGCCGGTTCTCTCTTGGAGAGACATCCTCAAGACCTTATTAATATCCCCTTTATTAATACCTATCTTCCACTTATACACTTCGATCAGGTCTCCCGTCATTCTTCGTCTAACAAGTGAATGTAACTTAAGAGTCTTCAATCTTTCTTCATAAGGAAGATTTCTAATGCTATGTATTACCTGGAGTTTACCTGGAGAGAGTTCCGGGGGTCAACGCCCCCGCGGCCCGGTCTGAGACCAGGCCTCCTGGTGGATCAGAGCCTGATCAACCAGGCTGTTGCTGCTGGCTGCACGCAAACCAACATACGAGCCACAGCCCGGCTGATCCGGAACTGACTTTAGGTGCTTGTCCAGTGCCAGCTTGAAGACTGCCAGGGGTCTGTTGGTAATCCCCCTTATGTGTGCTGGGAGGCAGTTGAACAGTCTCGGGCCCCTGACACTTATTGTATGGTCTCTTAACGTGCTAGTGACACCCCTGCTTTTCATTGGGGGGATGGTGCATCGTCTGCCAAGTCTTTTGCTTTCGTAATGAGTGAGTTTCGTGTGCAAGTTCGGTACTAGTCCCTCTAGGATTTTCCAGGTGTATATAATCATGTATCTCTCCCTCCTGCGTTCCAGGGAATACAGGTTTAGGAACCTCAAGCGCTCCCAATAATTGAGGTGTTTTATCTCCGTTATGCGCGCCGTGAAAGTTCTCTGTACATTATCTAGGTCGGCAATTTCACCTGCCTTGAAAGGTGCTGTTAGTGTGCAGCAATATTCCAGCCTAGATAGAACAAGTGACCTGAAGAGTGTCATCATGGGCTTGGCCTCCCTAGTTTTGAAGGTTCTCATTATCCATCCTGTCATTTTTCTAGCAGATGCGATTGATACAATGTTATGGTCCTTGAAGGTGAGATCCTCCGACATGATCACTCCCAGGTCTTTGACGTTGGTGTTTCGCTCTATTTTGTGGCCAGAATTTGTTTTGTACTCTGATGAAGATTTAATTTCCTCATGTTTACCATATCTGAGTAATTGAAATTTCTCATCGTTGAACTTCATATTGTTTTCTGCAGCCCACTGAAAGATTTGGTTGATGTCTGCCTGGAGCTTTGCAGTGTCTGCAATGGAAGACACTGACATGCAGATTCGGGTGTCATCTGCAAAGGAAGACACGGTGCTGTGGCTGACATCCTTGTCTATGTCGGATATAAGGATGAGGAACAAGATGGGAGCGAGTACTGTGCCTTGTGGAACAGAGCTTTTCACCGTAGCTGCCTCGGACTTTACTCTGTTGACGACTACTCTCTGTGTTCTGTTAGTGAGGAAATTATAGATCCATCGACCGACTTTTCCTGTTATTCCTTTAGCACGCATTTCGTGCGCTATTACGCCATGGTCACACTTGTCGAAGGCTTTTGCAAAGTCTGTATATATTACATCTGCATTCTTTTTGTCTTCTAGTGCATTTAGGACCTTGTCATAGTGGTCCAATAGTTGAGACAGACAGGAGCGACCTGTTCTAAACCCATGTTGCCCTGGGTTGTGTAACTGATGGGTTTCTAGATGCGTGGTGATCTTGCTTCTTAGGACCCTTTCAAAGATTTTTATGATATGGGATGTTAGTGCTATTGGTCTGTAGTTCTTTGCTGTTGCTTTACTGCCCCCTTTGTGGAGTGGGGCTATGTCTGTTGTTTTTAGTAACTGTGGGACGACCCCCGTGTCCATGCTCCCTCTCCATAGGATGGAAAAGGCTCGTGATAGGGGCTTCTTGCAGTTCTTGATGAACACAGAGTTCCATGAGTCTGGCCCTGGGGCAGAGTGCATGGGCATGTCATTTATCGCCTGTTCGAAGTCATTTGGCGTCAGGATAACATCGGATAGGCTTGTGTTAATCAAATTTTGTGGCTCTCTCATAAAAATTCATTTTGATCTTCGACTCTCAGTCTGGTTAGCGGCTTGCTAAAAACTGAGTCATATTGGGACTTGAGTAGCTTACTCATTTCCTTGCTGTCATCTGTGTAGGACCCATCTTGTTTAAGTAGGGGCCCAATACTGGACGTTGTTCTCGATTTGATTTGGCATAGGAGAAGAAATACTTTGGGTTTCTTTCGATTTCATTTATGGCTTTTAGTTCTTCCCGCGATTCCTGACTCCTAAAGGATTCTTTTAGCTTAAGTTCGATGTTGCTATTTCTCTGACCAGTGTCTCCCTACGCATTTCAGATATATTGACCTCTTTTGGCCGCTCTGTTATTCTTTTCCGTCGCCTGTAAAGGGAGCGCCTCTCTCTTTCTGTTTTACATCTACTCCTCCTTTTTCTTAGAGGAATAAGCCTTGTGCATACATCGAGTGCCACCGAGTTAATCTGTTCTAGGCATAAGTTGGGGTCTGTGTTGCTTAGTATATCTTCCCAGCTTATATCGGTTAGGACTTGGTTTACTTGGTCCCACTTTATGTTTTTGTTATTGAAGTTGAATTTGGTGAATGCTCCCTCGTGACTAATCTCATTATGTCGGTCTGGGGCTCCACGCATACATGACTGAACCTCAATTATGTTGTGATCTGAGTATATTGTTTTTGATATGGTGATATTTCTTATCAGATCATCATTGTTAGTGAAGATGAGGTCTAGTGTATTCTCCAGTCTAGTAGGCTCTATTATTTGCTGGTTTAAATTGAATTTTGTGCAGAGATTTAAAAGCTCGCGTGAGTGTGAGTTTTCATCAGAGCTGCCTCCTGGTGTTATTACTGCAACAATATTATTTGCTATATTCCTCCATTTTA